CAGCTGCCAGCAGTGAAAAGCTTGGCAAATCTCCCCAGCAGTTCAGTCCCAGGGTAGCACACTGTTGCAGCTGGAGAAACAGCCCTGGGAAAGATAGCTAAATGTCCTAAGTTTTACATCCAGAAGCTTCCAGAAGCTCCACTCACAGCTCACAGCATGAATAATTTAGGACAGGACTTGTGGTCAGATTTGGGAAGGGCATTGAGGTTGAAGAGGACAGCCTCTTCAGCAGGGCAGCTGGGCCTGCCAGCTTCCCAGGTGAGACTGCACAGCCTCGATGAGCCCTCCGTGTGCCCTCCCAGCCCTTCCAGTGGGCCCTGCTTGCTGAGACCCTGCCCACACGCTCTGGCCCTGTGCAGGTTCAATTTCATACCCAGGCCCCCACGCTCTTCCTGTGCCCATAGCTTGGCTTCCCTTGGTGTTTATTTTCCCTTCTCACCAGGGAAGAACTGTGGCACTCACTTCTCTTCTTTCTCCTTTTTTCTTCATCTTCCTTTTCTTTTTTTTTGAGACGGAGTTTCGCTCTTGCTACCCAGGCTGGAGTGCAATGGCGCGATCTCGGCTCACCGCAATCTCCGCCTCCTGGATTCAGTCAATTCTCCTGCCTCAGCCTCCCGAGCAGCTGGGATTACAGGCACGCACCACCGTGCCCAGCTAATTTTTTGTAATGTTAGTAGAGACGGGGTTTCACCATGTTGACCAAGATGGTCTCGATCTGTTGACCTCGTGATCCACCCGCCTCGGCCTCCCAAAGTGCTGGGATTACAGGCTTGAGCCACCGCGCCTGGCCTCATCTTCCTTTTCTTATTCTTTTTTTTTTTTTTTTTGAGACGGAGTTTCGCTCTTGTTACCCAGGCTGGAGTGCAATGGCGCGATCTCGGCTCACCGCAACGTCCGCCTCCTAGGTTCAGGCAATTCTCCCGCCTCAGCCTCCTGAGTAGCTGGGATTACAGGCACGCGCCACCATACCCAGCTAATTTTTTGTATCTTTAGTAGAGAGGGGGTTTCACCATGTTGACCAGGATGGTCTCGATCTCCTGACCTCGTGATCCACCCGCCTCGGCCTCCCAAAGTGCTAGGATTACAGGCTTGAGCCACTGCGCCTGGCCCCTTTTCTTATTCTTATTTGTAGACATAGTTTCACTGTGTTGCCCAGTCTGGTCTCCAGCTCCCTGGAGGCCTCAAGTGATCCTCCCACCTCAGCCTTCAAAGCAATGGAATTACAGGCATCAGCCACTGTGACGTGACACTCATTTCTAACTTGAAAACAATTCTTCAGTTTCATGTCTCAGTACCTTTTAGCCTACCACACAGGATCTTTTTTATTTTTATTTTAAAAATTTATTTATTTGTTTGTTTATTTGAGATGGAGTCTGGCTCTGTCGCCCAAGCTGGAATGCAGCTGCACGATCTTGGCTTACTGCAATCTCCGCCTCCTGGATTCAAGTGATTCTCCTGCCTCAGCCTCCTAAACAGCTGGAATTACAGGTGCATGCCACCATATGTGGCTAATACTTTTTTTGGGGGGGGATATGGTGTCTTGCTCTCTTGCCCAGGCTGGAGTACAGTGGCATGATCTTGGCTCACTGCAACCTTCGCCTCCTGGGTTCAAGCAATTCTCCCTGCCTCAGCTTTCTGAGTAGTTGGGATTACAGGTGCCTGCCACCACTCCCAGCTAATTTTTGTATTTTTAGTAGAGACAGGGTTTCACCATGTTGGCCAGGCTGGTCTCGAACTCCTGACCTCAGGTGACCCACCCATCTCAGCCTCCCAAAGTAGTGGGATTACAGGCATTAGTCACTGCGCCCAGCCATTTTTGTATTTTTTTAGTGGAGGCAGGGTTTCACCATGTTGGTCAGGCTGGTCTCGAACTCCTGACCTCAAGTGATCTGCCTGTCTCGGGATTCTACAATGTTGGGATTACCGGCATGAGACACCACACCTGGTCTACTCTCTGCCTCTATGAGTTCAGTGTTTTTAGGTTCCACATATGAGTGAAATTATGCAGTATTTATCTTTCTGTGCCTGGCTTATTTCACTTAATGTAGTTTCCTCCATCCAGGTTAATCCATGTTGCCACAAATGACTGGCTTTCTTTCTCTCTCTTTTTCTTTCTTTCTCTTTCTCTCTCTCTCTCTTTCTTTCTTTCTTTCTTTCTTTCTTCCTTTTCTTTCTCGCTCTTTTTTTTTTTGACAGTCTTGCTCTTGCCCAGGCTGGAGTACAGTGGCTGGATCACAACTCACTGTAGCTTCAAAAACTCCTGGGCTCAAGTGATCCTCTTACCTTAGCCTCCAGAGTAGTTAAAGGACTACAGGTGGGAGCCACTATGCCCACTTTGTTTTTTATTTTTTTGAGATGGAGTTTCGCTCTGTCGCCCAGGTTGGAGTGCAGTGGCACTAACTTGGCTGACTGCAACCTCCACCTCCCGGGTTCAAGCCATCTTCTGCCTCAGCCTTCGGAGCAGCTGGGACTACAGGTGCCTGCCACCACGCCCTGCTAATTTTTGTATTTTTAATAGAGTTGGGATTTCACCATATTGGCCAGGCTGGTCTTGAACTCCTGCCCTCATGGTCCACCTGCCTCGGTCTCCCAAAGTGTTGGGATTATAGGCATGAGCCACTGTGCCCCGCTCCAGCTAATTTATTTTTGTTTATTTTTTATTTTTGTAGAGCTGGGGGGTCTCCCTATGTTGCCCAGGCAAGTCTCAAACTCCTGGCCTCAAGCAATTCTCCCACCTTGACCTCCCAAAGTGTTGGGATTATAGTTGTGAGCCACCCACTGAACCCAACCAGGATTTTCTTCTTTTTAAAGGCTGAATAGTATTCCATTGTCCCACAGGAACTTTAGAATCAGGGTGCAGAATCCTCTGGTGCTGAGGCCTTTGCAGGTTTCTGTGGAGAAGATATCCCACAGAGGGACCTGCACTCAAGCAGGTTACAACTGTGATCTTCTGATCTTTCTTAGGAAGTCCCAGAGGTACCTGTGGTCTGAGGAAAAGAACCCTTGGCTGAGTCATAGGACCTAGATTCTTTGCCTTGGCTTCAGACAGTAGAAAACAGTGGTTATAGCATGAGATTTGGAGACACCTGGATGAGAACTCCAGCTCCAACACTAGTTTGCTTTGTGGGCTTCAGCAAATCATTTAACCTCTTGAAGTCTCTGTTTCCTTATTGGTAAAATGAAGAAAATTAAGTTAACTATTGCACAGGGTTTGGGGGAAGACTTAATGAGATAATATATGCAAAATGCCCAGGGCATTGCCTAGCACTTAGTAGGAGTTTAATAAATGATGGTTGCTTTCCCTTAATATGAAAGAGCGCAGGCAAACACAGAAATTTAGCAAGTTTCAGTGGGTAGAAAACATCCCTTCCCATCTCCATTGTCTCTGCTGGGGTTCACAGCCTCATTACCTCTGGCTGGGACTACTGTAGCAGTTTCCCAACATAACCATCCACACCCATCTGGTGCCTGCCCTCGGGTTACTTTCATTCTGTTACTTTGACACCTTTCTTGGCTGCTTACATCATTAGATTTAGGCCAAATTTCTTAGCTCAAGGGCCTTTGTAAATTGCTTCAACCCCTTTTTTTCCCCCAACCATTATGGTGAAAAGAACAGATTGTGGAATCTGAAGACGGCTCCAGTCCTGGGACCATCCACTGTCTCCCTAGCTGACTGAGTAAATCATCTCAGTTCTACATCTCTACATTAGAGATCATAATACTGCCTCATGGGATGCATGCATCTTTCCTGCTGGACTGTGAGCCCATGGTCAACAGGCAGGGGATGAAATGCATCTTGCTCACGCTGTGTCTGTTCAGCACATATTTGTTGAATGAATAAATAAATAAATAAATAAATAAATGAACAGACTGGATTTGGCATAATCCAGGTAAAGCCTTTGGAGTCACCAGGAGACATGACCAAATGGTAGCTGTTGCTATGCAGGTTACTAAGTGGAATAACTTTAGACACACTCCCTCTCTCTCTGGACACACTCATCTGTCCTAGGAGAGGATAGAAGGCCCTCCTGCCTCTTGTTCTGTTCATCATTAGGTCGTGAGTGCAGAAGGAGCTCAATAAATGCTTCCTCGGTGGATAAATCTTCCAAGGCTCCAGTTGGGGCTAGCACTGTCTGAAGAGACTGAGTTCCCTTGTTGGGGCCTGGTTCTCTTCTGCTCTTTACACTGCCGGGAAGATGAGGCCTTCTTTGGGTCCCTCCTTCATTCAGTTCCAGAAGCCCAGCGGGTAGGTGGACCTATAAGGACTCGCAGAATCTGCAGGACGCTGTCCGGGAGCTGAAGCAGGAGCGCCAAGGGCGGGGACGGAATGTGGGTTTAAGGGAAACAAGCGAAAGAGGGGTGGCCATGGAAAAGGGTTGTTTAAGAACCCGCGTCTGGGCAGACAGACAGTCCTGCAGCCTGAGAGAGAGACTAGGACCCGGCGGTGAGGAGCTCCAAGAGGGCGGGCCGGCTGAGCTGGCCCGGGGTCAGCGAGCAGCCGCGGGGCCCGGGCGGAGAGGTCGTGGAGCAGAGGGCGGGGAATTTGGGGGTGTGGTTGGCCTTGAGGGGGGACACCGGAGGCCGCCAGGGAGGAATTGCAGAGGGGAGGGTTCGAGAGGGCCCGGGCGTCAGGAGGACGCGGGGTCAGTGCGGAGGGGGGCGCCGGGCGGCGGATGGGTAGGGGCGCGCGGGGTGCGCGGAAGCGCCGGGGTGGGGTGCAGGGCGGGGGGAGCGCGCATCGGGGGGCGGGGGGCGGGGTCGGCGCTGGGGGTGGGGGAGCGGGTTGGGCGGCTGCGCCGGCTCCGCTTCAGCCGCTGCCGCTAGGGCGCGGGGGGCGGGGGGCTCGGCGACGCGAGCTCGGCCATTGTGGGAACCGCTCCCCTCGGCTCTGCCGCGCTCCCCTCAACCGCGCTCCAGCCCAGGGCGCGCCCGGCCGCCGCCGCCTTCCCTGCCGCCGCGGGCCGGTCTTCCTCCTCCTTCGGCTCCCAGGGTAAGGCGCGGGGCGCAGGGTTCGATGCAGGTGCCCTGCCTACTGAGCAGGGTGCGCGGAGGCGGCTGGGGTGCGGTGATTGATCGCGCGAGGCGGCCGCGCCCCAGCCCCCGGCAGCCGGCGGCCGCTGACAGGCGGCTTGACAGGCGCGGTGACAGCGGCCGTGCGGGGCTCGCACCTGCAGCCCCCGCGGCAGGCTCCGGGGAGCGGCGAGGACGCGGAGCTGGGGCTTCCCCTGTGCGGGCGCTGCCAGGGCGGAAGGGAGGCGTGTTCCCCGGGAAAACGGGGCACGGAGCCCTGTCGGGGCCGGGCCCCGGACCTGCGGGGGCGGGCAGAGCCGGGCGAGGAGGGTCGCTTCCCAGCCCCAGGGCTCGGCCGCTGGCCCCAGCGCCCTGTCGGTCCTCAGTCGCGCGTCCCCGCTCTTTGTCAGCCACGCTTGGCGGGCACGCGGACCCACCCGCGCCGCTCCAGGCTCGCGGGCGCGCTCCTCCTCCACCGTGGGGAAGCAGGTGGGAGCCAGGTGGAGAGGGTCGCAGCGGGTGAGAGCACCCTGTGAGGTGCTTGTCGCCGACCGGCCTGCAGCCTTCAGGGTGGGCTGGGGCATGGGCAGGCGCTCCTGTGAATCTCGGGGATTGATGGAGTGACCCGGGTGACCGAGGGTGGGGTGGGAGCCCCGAGGTCAAACAGGTGTTTGTGAGGGGCCGGAGATTGACGGGGTAGAGCCCAGAAGGGACGCTTTCTCCTATAGGAGGCCTTGGAAGAGCCGGCCTTTGTAGTGAAATGGGCGTCTTGGAGAGGAATGGGCGGTTCTGGCATGAAGCAGGTGGTCTGAGAGGAGGGGCATTTTTCCTAACCCTGAGCTGAGGGTAGGGGCGGAAGCTTGGCCTGAGTTTCCCAGAGGTTGAGGCTGTCACTTCAGTAACTGCCCAGAAGGTAATGGGAGGAGGGGTCAGTGCTAGGATAAAGGGCAAAGCTGTGCCAGGACCAGGGTCCTTTCCTTTCTGTTTCCTGTGGCTAGATCCCTTCTAGATGTTCCCTGGGAAGAGGGCCCACATGCTGCTGGCACAAGGGGTGCCCTGGCAGGGAGACTCGGCTGCCTAAGACTGCCTACAGGCCTCCTGCACTGTTTTTATGTTTCTTCTGTGCCTATGGTGGGGATCTGCCAATGACCCAGGAGGCTGTCTCTGCCGTTTGCTGCCTCTAGGCTAATTCGAGAATCCTGGAGAAGCTGTGGCCACAGACCCAATGTGTCCAGGCATGTAGGCTACCTCCCTGTCTCTACACAGCCCTGTGTGCAGGTATTCCCCATAAGGGAAAATCAACAGCTCCTGCCCTCTCTGGACCCTAGAGCCAAAGTCAGAGCTGGCTACCCAGGTTGGCTTTGGGGCCTGTAGGAAGGCTGGTAGCTGAAGGCACATACCATCCGTGCTCTGATGGAGCCCTTGGGGTGGTGGGCCATGTGTAGCAGATGGTTCTGGGAAGTGAGCTTGGCCTGGCTGAGGGAAGGCTGCCCAGTCTGGCTGGTGGAGCCCAGCTGGCCCTAGAGCAATTGTATTTTCACTTAACTGTCTCCACTAGCTAAACTGACAGAAAAAAATGGACTTTCTGTCCCATCCCTCCACCCCATCCTCATGCTGTGCCACTTATTCCCACAACAGCCCTAGAGTAGCAAATGAACATTTAATGCCTGCTGGGTGTCATGCATGGCATCAACCAGTACTACATTTGCATTTAACAGTGTTCTTAAAACATCCTCTGAGGTGGAATATTACCCCCATTTTGCAGATGAAGGAACTGAGTCTCAGAAAGGTGAAGTGACTTACCCAAGAGCACAGCAATTTGTAAGTGGCCAAACTAGAATTTATACCCAGGTCTGTCTTACTTCAAGTCTAGTACATTTTCTAATATATCTGCTGGAGATAGAGTGGGAGAAACCAGGGAATTTCTGCCTATTCTAGCCCATGGTTTGCTTCATGCCTGCTACTGAGATCATGCTTTAGCTTTTTGAAAATACTTCCCATCTGTTGCCCCAGTTTATCCTTATAGCATTCCTGGGAGGTAAGTAGAACAGGAATGTAATAATAGATACTGTATATTGAGTGCTCACTGGGCACTAGGCACTATTAAGCACTTTACATGCAGAATCCAACCCCATAGGGCTAGGTTCTATTATTATCATCCCCATTTTGTAGATGAGGGTGCTGAGGCTTGGAGAGACCAAGTAGCTTCTCCAGGGTCACACAGCTAGTAAATGGAGTAGAATTTAAACCCACAGCGTTCTGTCGTGGGATCTGTGAGCTTAATCTTCCAGATGTGCCAAATAACAATAATAATAGTTCCTAGGAATAGGAGCTAACTTTTACATGATGTTTTAAGATTTATAGACATCATCACAAACAATATCCCCCAAACCTCGTGAATTAGTTTTGGCATGTATCATCTTCATCCCATTTTCCAGGTGAAGAAACTGAGGTTCAGATAGACAGGACTAGAACCTCTGCTTCCCAAGTCCCAGCACTCCTTATGGGACCTCTTTGGTCTGCTCACATTCACCCCTTTCTCCTTCAGATCACTTCTCCCTGGGCTCCCAGGCCCTCCTGCAGCAGCCCCCACCTGGGCCATGTCTTCCTCAGATGAAGAGACGCTCAGTGAGCGGTCATGTCGGAGTGAGCGGTCGTGTCGGAGTGAGCGATCTTACAGGAGCGAGCGGTCAGGGAGCCTGTCTCCTTGTCCCCCAGGGGACACCTTGCCCTGGAACCTGCCACTGCATGAGCAGAAAAAGCGGAAAAGCCAGGATTCGGTGCTGGACCCTGCAGAGCGTGCTGTGGTCAGAGTTGCTGGTAAGAGAGATACCCCAGCAGGTTGGACGCTGTGGGTGTGAGGGAGGAATGGGACATGGTGCAGCGGCTACATGGGGAGCCTAGGGGCCCTCACCAGGGCTCTCTGGCAAAGCAGCCAGAATCGGATTTGTTATTGTTACTCTTGGAAAGATGTTGAAATAACATTAATGAAAACCTCAAAAGAGGAAAATTTGCCACCCCTGTGCTAACATGAGACCTGTTTTCATTTCTGTACCTTCTTCCTTGTCTTTGTCCCCATTCAGTTATATTTTCTCTGTAGTTGCCTTCATGGCTTAGGTACCATTCTGCATCTGACTCTTTTTAGTTACTCTTATATTAAAAAGATTTTCCGTATTGCACCTTAGACTTTATAGTTACTATTTCTAATGGCTGTCTAATATTTTTTATGATTTTCTAAATCCTACTCTTTTTTCACTTTTTGGCTATGTTAGACAATGCTGCTGAGAACATGGTTAAGAATAATTTGACTTCTGTTGGGTTATTTATTTCCTTATAATGAAATCCTTGGAGAGCACAGTTTTACTTGTATCACCTTCCAGAAGTGTTCTACATGCAGACCTTTAACATGGTCTGAAGGCTGGGGCTGTCTCCTGTGGTGGGATGTGCCCGGCTGTCTGACAAGCAGCCGTGAAATGTAGTAGTTATGAGTGTAAGCTTTGGAATCAGAGAGGGTAGAGTTCTGGATTGTGGTCCTGCCACTGACCAACTGTGTGACTCTGGGCGAGTCCCTTGTTCTATCTCAGTGTCACTTTCCTTGTCTTAAGAATGTCTGCTGTGCAGGGCTGCCTTGAAGGTTAAAGTGTGGAAAGCCCTTACCACAGTGTTTTGTTCAATAAAGGAGATGCTTCAACTGAAGGCATCCACAGCTGCCTCCCTAAAGTGTGCTCAGCATCTCAGCAGGGTGTTGGTGCTAGAGTACAGATAGGAAAACAGAGCAGTGCCTGCAGCTAAATCAATGACATAACTAGCTTTCAAGCCATCACCAAGGCCTGTACTGCTACTTTCTTTGTGTCTCTCAAATAATATACCTGCTCCTTCCACTGTATAGTAGCTCTTCCTCTCTTAGTCTTGCCCCCATCCTCCACATGACTAATAGAGTATTTTATTCTAAAATACAACCTCATGGGCACAGTGGTGCATGCCTGTAGTCCCAGTTACTCGGGAGGCTGAGGTGGGAGGATCACTTGAGCCCATGCCGATAGGGTGTCCACACTAAGTTCGGCATCAATATGGTGACCTCCCAGCAGCAGGGGACCACCAGGTTGCCTAAGGAGGGGTGAACCGGCCCAGGTTGCAAATGGAGCAGGTCAAAACTAAAACTCCCATGCTGATCAGTAGTGGGATCGTGCCTGTGAATAGCCACTGCACTCCAGCCTGGGCAACATAGTGAGACCCCATCTCTTAAAAAAAAAACACAAACCTCAAGAGCACATATTTAGCGGGCACACTGGCTCACGCCTGTAAGCCCAGCACTTTGGAAGACCGAGGCAGGTGGATCACGAGGTCAGGAGTTCAAGACCAGACTAGCCAACATGGTGAAACTCCATCTCTACTAAAAAAAACTACAAAAATTAGCTGGGCATGGTGGCCTGTGCCTGTAATCCCAGCTACTTGGGAGGCTGAGATAGGAGAATTCCTTGAACTGGGACCTGGGAGGTGGAGGTTGCAGTGAGCTGGGATCGTGTCACTGTACTCCAGCCTGGGCTACAGAGGGAAACTCCATCTTAAAAAACAAACGAAAAAAAAGAACATATATTCTATTTTATGAAATGAAGTGTTGGCCAGGCGCGATGGCTTACACCTGTAATCCCAGCACTTTGGGAGGCCAAGGTGGGCAGATCATCTGAGGTCAGGAGTTTGAGACCAGCCTGACCAATATGGTAAAACCCTGCCTCTACTAAAAATATAAAAATTAGCTGGGCATGGTGGTGGTGCTGGTAATCCCAGCTACTCAGGAAGCTGAAACAGGAGAATTGCTTGAACCCAGGAGGCGGAAGTTGCAGTGAGCTGAGATGGTGCTACTGCACTCCAGCCTGGGTGACAGAGTGAGACTCCATCTCAAAAAATAAAAATAAAAAAAAGAGATGAAGTGTTGCCTGTATAACACTTCATTAAAAATACAATAAAAAATAAATAAAATAAAATACAAACCTAATTCTATTACTCAACTGCTTAAAAACCACCTTTGGCTCCTCATTGCCTGTGGAATAGAGACTTCAGCATAAAGATCCAACAAAATTACTTACCTCTAAAGCTTCACCTGCTGTCACGTCTACCCCCAATCACCCTGCCACGGTACACTGTAACTTGCCCCCCAGAGGGATGCATCTTGCAGGATGAAACTAACATGCTTTAATTTTCTTCTCTGCAAGATGCTGGTAAACCCTCCTTCTCTTTTAAGTGCCGCCTCCTCTGTCCTTAATGCCCCCAGTGGTATCCAAATCTTCCTCCTCCGCTCTCACAGTCATACTTTTCTCTCCTCCATGTTCCCTTGTACAGTGTAGCAGTTAACCCACAGGGTGCCCATTACTCCCTTAGAACGGTGAGCAATTTAGGACATGTCTTATATTTTGAGCCCCAGAGGGCTGCACATGGCCTTGTGCATGCTAGAGACCAGCCAGTACTGAAGGACTGAATGAATGCTAAATGAGTGTTTTGACGTTATTATGTGATGTGACAGATTGTGATCCAGAAACAGGGGCACTGAGCTGTAATGGAAAGTCAGACAGAGAAAGGCTTATGTGGGCTCAGGTAATTAGGAAAAGACTTTAGAGGGAGTGAGCTCCAAGTGAGGAGACAGCAGTAGGGCGTGGAAGGCAGGAAGGAGAATTTGAGCTCTTTCTGATGGGCAGCGGGGAGTCCTTGGAGGAAGTCCTTCTCAAAACCACGGGGCCTGCAGTATCAGCCAGGCACAGAATTTCAGAGCTGTCCCTAGGGTGCAGGAAGGGCTCTACTTGTCTCCAGTCTTGAAGGGCCACGACTCAGCGCCCTGAAGACTCGAAAACCTCTTTCTACTGAAGACAGAGTGGGCTGTCTCATTCTTCCTTCTTTATATCCTCTGCCTCCATCCTTCATCACTTATGCATACTCATATCGCTTTGTGATGATTTCCCCTTCCAGTCTTCTCTGAGGAGGCCCATGGGATGATTTGCCTGCTGCTTCAGATTTGGAGACTAGAATAGAAGTGGAGTGGACTCAAGGAGGCTTAATTTTATGCAGGCAAGGCTCCTAAGGATCCTGCTGGGTGAACTGAGCACGGGGATGGTGGGTGCTGTGCGGTGCTGTGTTTCTGGCATGGATGCTGATCTCCTTTGCATCCTGACACTGCTGAATGCCTCTTTTGAGGAGGGGGCTGGGCCAGTAAGGCTGAAAATGGGGAGACTGCCATGGTTAAAAATAACTCATGCACTGCAGTTGGGCGTGTTTCTTTAGCAGGAGAGGAGAGAGGCAGCAGAGACGAGGCGGGACTGCGACTTTAGGGTCTTGCTGAAATCTTCCTGTGATTTTAGACTGCTGTGAGGGCTCCACCAGAGTAAAGAAAAAGGCAGCCTTAGCTCTGCAGGGACTCCTTCACAGGAGGTACAGGAGGGGCATGTCTTGGAGACCCTGGATGCTGTGAAGCTCTCTGAAGCAGAATTTTAATTGTGGGAGGAAATGAAGTCAGTCTTACACTGGAAGCCAGCTGTGGCCTGTGCAATTTTCTCCTCCCCCTGGATCTGGCTTAGGAAGCCAAGTGGGGGTGTCTGAATCACTCACCAAATACGGAGCTTCCCTTTCCCTGGCCTACTCTGTGTCCTGAGCTGGTCTTGGGGCCTCGCCCTGCTTGAGGGAGAAACCCTTCAAGCATGTGTGACCCTGCTGGTCACACATGTCAGAGTAGAGAGGGATGTTGGGGCTGAGAAACCTGCTGATTTCAGTCTACAAAGTCAGACAGGTTCTCTTCCTCCTGTCTTCCTGTTCTCATCCTTTCCCCCATTTGTTTCTCCTTCTTCTTTGCCAGCCTTATTCTCAACTCCCTAAGCCCAGCCACATTCAAATGTAACAAGTCACTAATGAAAGTGTCTTGTTTCTGTAAATCTTTATGATTTACACAGAGATTTCAAAAGAACTCTGTGTTAGGCAGGACATATGTTAGCATCTGAGGCTCAGAGAGTTTAAGGGACTGGCCTATAGTTACAAAGGACTGGTAAACACAGATCTTCTAACTCCAAGTACATTGCAATTTCTTTTTTTGAGGCAGAGTCTCACTCTGCCACCCAGGCTGGAGTGCAGTGGCGCAATCTCAACATACTGTAATCTCCGCCTCCTGGGTTCAAGCTATTGTCCTGCCTCAGCCTCCCGAGTAGCTGGGATTACAGGGGTGTGCTGCCACGCCCAGCTAATTGGTGTATTTTTATTTTTTTTATTTTTGAGAGGGAGTTTCGCTCTTGTTACCCAGGCTGGAGTGCAATGGCGCGACCTCGGCTCACCGCAACCTCCGCCTCCTGGGTTCAGGTGATTCTCCTGCCTCAGCCTCCCGAGTAGCTGGGATTACAGGCACGCGCCACCATGCCCAGCTAATTTTTTTTTTTTTTTGTATTTTTAGTAGAGACAGGGTTTCACCATGTTGACCAGTATGGTCTTGATATCTTGACCTTGTGATCCACCTGCCTCGGCCTCCCAAAGTGCTGGGATTACAGGCTTGAGCCACCGCACCTGGCCTGTGTATTTTTAGAAGAGATGGGGTTTCACTATGTTGGCCAGGCTGCTCTCGAACTCCTGACCTCAGGTGATCCGCCCACCTCGGCCTCCCAAAATCCTGGGATTACAGGCATGAGCCACCATGCCCGGCGCTGTACATTGCTCTTTCTATTTCCTTGGGCAATACATGGCAACCAGGCCAGTCTGAATCTTCTGCAGGTGACAATCTAAATCTCCACACTCACCTGAGAGACCTTTTGGTCACTTCCAGGAAAGGCCTCAGGATCCGGGTCTATAGA